ACGATTAGCATAAAAGTTAAATCATGGTCAGATTTGAAGGTATAGACTCCGTAGCTTGTTAATTAATTGCAATTCGGTTTAATTCAATTTAATTGTAACATAATTTATATTGCAATATGTATTATTGTGTCGTAAAAATTGTCTGAAATTATAAAGTTTTATTCTAAACCTAATATTTTATATGTTGTTTAATAAATAAACTTCTTATTTTCTTAAAAAAAAATAAAATGATATTTTACCAGATCGATTGTAAAGATATGGGAGGATGGAATAACTTTAATTTCACAAGCAACCAATCCGAAAAGATACTCAATACGCTGGAGTTTATACATTGCGAATTACCAAGCATAACTACATTACAAAATGTGGTGAAAACACTAGGAGTAGAAGAAACAAATACACTGATCTTTCAATCTTTTAAAGACCTTGGCGATACACTAAAAAGAGAGCATCTTCAAGAATTTTCAAATATAACAAAATTAGTTTTACTCCGAAACGGTTTAACAAATATTCCATATGATTTGTTTTCGGATTTATTCAAATTGGAGTACCTTGATATATCTGAAAATAATATTATACTACCAAAAAATATTTTCGAAAAAACAAAGAATCTTAAGCGACTGGAATTATATGGAAATAACATAAAAGAATTCGTCCCTGGATTATTTTCTGATTTACTGTATCTAGAGTATCTAGATCTAATGGGAAATTTATTAGTAGAACTCGATGCCGAAGTATTTAACGATCTAATATCATTAAAAAATTTGAACCTAGGAGTAAATATGTTAAAAACGTTACCGCAATCAATTTTTCGTAAATTAAAGAGGTTGGAAATAATTGATTTGTCTTTTAATAATTTAATCTCTATTCCATCAAAACTGTTTGATCAAAATCAAAAATTGCGACTGGTAGCACTTCATAGTAATAACGTACCTAAAATAAAACTGCCCGAAAAATTTTTGTCGAATTTAGAAAAACTAGAAGAAGTCATTTTGAGCAATAATAGAATCGAAAATCTAACAGAAAGTCTTTTCTGGGGTTCATCATCATTAAAATATATCCATCTGAATGAGAATTTTCTTAAAACTTTACCCCAAAATATCTTTAGAGGTTTACAAAATGTTGAGCTACTCTTAATAAATAACAATCTAATTGAAACTCTTCCTGAGGGAATTTTTAAAGATTTGGGAAAATTAAAACTACTCGACTTGTCCAAGAATCATATTGTTTCTATATCAAGGTACATTATTATGCAATTTATGGAAGATTTATTTGTTATYTAWTTTTTTTCTAATATGAATATTTTGTAGAAATATGTTTGAAGGTTTGACATCTTTGACTGAACTCAACATGGAAAGAAATCATTTGAAACATATCGAACATGCGGCTTTATCAACCATTAGAAATCTAACAATTGCTAGGTTCTCTCATAATGAGCTACAGTTTAACTATGCACGTAAAAATCAGTCTCCTTTTTTTTATAATTTTCTTCTCAAAGAATTGCATTTATCGTATAATGACATACAACATTTCTTTTCCCATTTCTCGATAAATAAATTCTACTTAACATTATTAGATTTGAGTCACAACAACATAAATACCATATCGGTAATTATCATATTTTATTATTCAAACATATATTCAAGTATTATTATTTTAATTAATCAAAGTGATTTAATCAAAAAAAGAAATAATTATTTTGACTTTAATAATAGTTTTAATTCGGCTTTATTTTTTTTTTCTTCAACAGGCGAGAAAATTCATTTTTTCATCAGACAAAATTACAGTTGATCTGAGATATAATAATATAAGTAACATTTTGCTAAAAGATATCGAGAGCATGGCAAGTCATCAAACGGAGAAACGTGACGTTGTCATCCTCGTGCAACATAATTCGTTATTATGTGATTGTAACTTGTATTATCTCTTGCGTTATTGTAACAATGGTATGCCTACTACTGTTTATAATTACATTGATATAAGTGTWAAAAATKTAAAGTGTGTHCACACTAATGGAACGGAAGGGCCAGAACTTAATSAACTGAATTATACCACCTATGAATGTCCTGAACACGACTACTTTGATATTGCAGAGAATTGTCAATTTGGTTGTACTTGTAGTATGAGACCATATGACACAACTCGAATTYTAGATTGTTCAAACAGAAATATGTCTGTATTCTTAATCGACAYRRCAAAAGTAAATTTTGTRGGAAAGTATCCTTTAATATTAAATCTCACYGGGAATGTKTTAACGGAGATACCATCAMTTGAAGMTTYAAAACMAATAAACRTAACAGGTTTATTGTTATCTAATAACAATATTTCTCAGATAACGGTCGAGAAATTACCAAAAAATCTCACAGTGAGTTATTTTTTATTCTATTATTTTTTCTATCTGTCAATAGAGATACTCAACAATTTTTTCTGTGTTCTTCTGTTTTTTTTTAGTTATTAGAATTGCATAATAATAATATATCAAAATTCGATATACCCGTAATGAGCTACTTGTTTTTAAGGTCTTTCAAAAAATTAACTTTAAGTGGTAATCCAATAACATGTAGTTGTGATGCTGTAAATTTATTTGAATACGTAAAAGTAATGCGATTGCTTTATAAGGATCTAGATAATTTAAAATGTAAAGACCTGGATCTTCCTTTGTACAACATTACCAATGAACAGTTGTGTCCAACCGTTACTCCACCTCTAGAACTGAACTAACGAGTGGAATTGAATGAAACGAACACAGAGTTCTCGGCAGATTTCTAAARAATGTAATATTATAAGTATAGTGATCTTTAAGAGAGATCATTTCTTCTCATTGCAAACATGATTATATTGTTTTAGAAAACATACTAAAACAATATAAATCGGTGAGTGTTAAATATTGTCATGTTTCTTATTGATAAAATCAGGTAAAAAAAATTTGTAGAGAGAATGACAATTCTGTAACATCTCTTAAATTTTACTATGCTGTAATAACATAAGGAGTGAGTTAATTATTTATATCTTATTATTATTTTTTCACGAAAAATTATATACCTATATTTATTGTTATTTAATCATTATATATAATAACTTGTTATATTTTAATCGACGATGTTTGGTACAACGATAGTAGAAGCCTTTTCTATATATTTTGAAAATGT